TTCTCCTGACATCTTGCTTTTTGTGCTGTTCTCCTCTCACTTCGCCTTTCTCCCTCATCTCCCCAGCTCTGCACTACTCTCCTTCCCATGTACTTTCTCCTTCTGTCGTCTTCTTTCCTCCTTTGACTTTGATTTGTCTAAAATGTTCGGTGGTGAAAGCAGGGAGAGGGAAGAGCAGAAAGAGCAAGATGACACTGGGCTCATTGAAAACTACGAAGTAGAGGAGAGAGGGACAATGCAGGAGCAAAATAGGGCTGAATATTTAGCTAAGTACTTCACATCTAAAAGCTTCCAGGAAGGAAGACATGGAAAAAATACTGAATGTCCAAGCTGGTACTTGATGTGACACTGAAGTGTTCTCTCTGAAAATGGAGTCTACTCACCTCTGAACCACAGACGGAGGAGGATAAAGAAATACGGAGATATATTAGAGGAGGGAGAGAACAAAAAATATTAGTTTGAAAGAAACTGGCCCTTTGATCTCACCTGCATCTCTTGACCTTGACAGAGTGAAATGGAAACATATGTTGGCCAGTAGCTTGTGTCCACCTATGACAAAGGTTCACCAAAGTCTTACTGTGTGTAGATTTATTTCTCTCACCTACAGTAGGTTATTAGACTCGAATTACTTTGTATTTTGGGGTAATTTTGCGCTTTGGAGATTTATTTTCAGGCCAGCATCTGGCGGTTGTGAATAGCCTGCATCTAAAGACGTTTCTTTGGGAGTGATGTTTGCAGCCATTGTCAGCTGCACTTATTTAAGTGTCTTAGAAGAAATCACAACTACATATAAAATGAATTAATGTGGCTTCATTAGAAATGTACTGTTTATTATTATTAATTTTGCTTGGTATGAGGTGATGGGGGCCGCATGTCTTTGAACAGTGGGAGGAAGTCAGAGTACCCGGAGAGAACCCACGCAAGCACGGGGAGAACATGCAATCTCCGCCTCACTCGCTGTGAGGCAAAGGTGCTAACCACCGCGCCACCGTGCTGCCCGTTCTGATATGTCGCCTTTCTATATTCATTCGTCTTAGGCGCTCTGCAAAAACACTTAAACGCTGTGCCTAAGCCTTCCTATGGCGGGGAAAACCCTGACTTGGGCTTTAAAATGCATTATAATACAATATCTTTTTTGTGTACTGCCTGTACGTGTGTGTGCTTGAAGTTTAAGAGCACTTTAAGAACATGCTATAATGACAGAGTAGCAGCTGTTACAGCTGCTGGCATTTGCAGAGAGACGAAGACAGAGACAGACAGGACGACAAAGACTAGAATAAAATAGGCTGTAAATTAACCACACAGTCAGTAACATTCTGTCTTATACAGTACATACGGTTGTGATGCATACAGGGTAATGTACCAGTATGCTGTATAGCATTACACATTATAAGACTTTATAACATTCAAAAGATAATTCAGTGGATGTTTAGTAGAAGTTGCCACAACTTTTCTATACAGCCTTCACTAAGCTTTCGTACTTCTGTGTAGGCAGTTGTGTATTTGTGGTGCGTTGTGCTTTATATGTTTAAAATTCAATAAAAATATTTGTGATGGAGTAACGTTTCCTTCCTTAGATCCCCATCACATTGTGACTTCTGTCATAGAAGAAAGTTTTAAAAATCAACCTGCAAGAGGCAAAATCTGATCATCTCTGATCTTAGACATATTCAGAGTTTTAAAGGCTGCTCTGTGATCAACAGTGTAGTCCCCATGAACTACAGGACTACAGGAAGTATACCCAGATGCTGAGCAATTACCAACTGTTTTGCTCTTTAATTAGCTTTTTGAAAGTCACAGATGATGACAGGGTTTCCAACGTAAGAAAAATGGCTACAAAACATCAGGAGCTTTGCTATAAAAATATATTCTCTTTGAGGTCTATACAAATCAATATTTTTGTATAGCGATGGCATTTAGGCTTCTTCAAAACAATATTTGAGAAGCAGAAATGAGCATCCCGCTGATCTTTTTGCTAGTGATGTGTGTTTTATACAGGTTGCACTTAGTAGGATGACGAGTGAACTGTGTTGTAGATAGATAGATACTGTAGATACTTTATTGATCCCGAAGGAAATTCGGGTATCCAGTAGCAACAGCAATGATTAACAAAAACCCCTTAATAAGACATGAGCTCCCCTGTAAACATGATTTGCAAGATTCTGGGGGCTCTCGGTGTAAAATATTGACAATAGCTCTGCTATTGTGCCACATAGGCTATTTATGTTTTTCTGTATCTTTATCATCATGGATGATGAGTAAAATGTGTCTATTGCTGATTATTATTAATGTATAAAGGCGATTCATTAATTCATTTTAATAAAGAACATCCCCATGGAAGCGTGGTGCCTCAGTAAATTTCACTGTAATGCAGTCATCGCCAAAACATTATCTCATGTCAGTTGCTTTAAAACCAAAAAAGAAGAAGAACAAACATTCTTCCCATCACCATTTTTCATTGAGGCTATAGATCATATAGTAACATTACATCAAAAAGAAAAGTTTTAAGTGTCACAGTCAGTCCTCTTTTTGAGGCACATGCAAGGGACTTGGTTTTTCTTCTCACATTTGTAAAGCGGAAAATAAAAAAGGTAATTAATGTAAGAATATGTAGCCTACATATTCACACAGGAGGGTGCACATAGTAAAATGGTCTCTCTGTGCCTCTGCAGTGCTGAAATACACACACCACTTTGCATCTGTTCTTTTATTCCTATTATTCATATTCTTACCAATAGGAATAATGATTTAAAACTAAATCACAGGCTTTATGTTGTAACTGTCATTAGGTCTAACCACAAAAAAGTGGGGAAAGAAGTGAGCTCCCCTGAAAGCTGCTCTTTATGTACAGAACCGCTTTTTAACAAGAAGCTAGCAGACACAAATATTGCCCTGGACAATATGATGTAATATTAATGAAACTTTAAAGATAAAATTGAGAAAAATGCCATTTTTATATAGGCATAAAATGCAATAGAGTGCACTGCACAGTAGTATAAATTTAACTTAGACCTTCTATTATAATATTCTGAATAAATAAATAGAGCATAAGCTTTACAGTAGTCTTGCTGCTGGGTTTACTTATCGTTGTACTAATCTCTTGTGTATTTGTGTAGATGTTATTTGCTTAATTGTAATATTAATGCTGTTTGCTGTCGACTATGTTTAGCACGCTCCAAAGTTAAATTCTGGACCTGAGTATTATTCTGTTGTAGATGATAAAATATTGCTCTGTTGTTCAGGCAGTTGCAGAATGATATAAATAAATTAATATAAATAAAAAAATAGAAAATATTTCTGTCCCAAACTCAGTCCAGGTTTTTTTAAAGGATAACGACAAAACAAACAGTAACAATACTCATGTGAGATGTATTCTCTAGAATATTCCTGGATATTTAAATTGTTTTATTAATGTTTGTATTTTAATGACTTCAACTGAGCTCTGTTTTTGAATTGAGAGGTTCTTAGTGTTTTAATCAGCAGCCGTTGTTTTGGACACCTTGCTTAAATACCTTTAACTTGTTTTTTGATAACCTCCTTTACAAATACATCTTCCTTAAGTTTAAGACATGTAACCTTGTTTTCACAGTGACCTTTAATTAAATTTGTGTATGTGAGTAATGAGACCGGTGATTAAACACACCACTTGGAATCTTATGTGTAAGTTGTCCAGAAAATATATATTTGCTTTTGTGGTTGGTTAGAGCAACAGTGCAAAAAAACTAAGGGTATGAAAGCTATGAAAAGAGAGCAAATTAGCTCAAATTATGATGAAGAGCAATTAATTTTCAATAGACTTTTCTTTTTTCTTGTTACATTTCGCTGATTCCATCTCAGACTCTGTCGCTCTTTGTCTCCTCTCCTTCGTCTTTATTCCCGCTGTACCTTTCTCAGCCTCCGACTATTATTCCAGATAATTTCTTTCATCAATAGCATGTTATACAAAACTGAGACAGAGACAAATGCTTTTATCAAAGTGCAAGTGCCTTTGTGTTCCCTCTTTGTCTAGGTTTACGTGCACAAGTTTAAATAGCCAGTGATAGCTGTTTGTGTGTCTGTTTTCATTCTGTTAAGTTCTGAATAAAAACAGCACAATCAATATAGTTTGTAACGGTCTGACAGCCTGTCGGCCAAATGCCGTGGGGTGCTTCTATTTGGGTGTTTGTCTGTGTCATTAAGAGTGTGCACACGCATCTCGTTAGGTGT